ATTTAGTTTTAATTTGTAGAAATTTTAGTACTTCAACTTAACCTTGTATATTTTAATTAGTTTTCAAGGCAACAGTTTTTTCATCTAATCTTTATATATGTTTTTTTATTTCAACTTTATTTCAGATACTAAAAATGATTTTCAATAGTTTTAATTTTAGTTAACAATAACAAAACCAATAACTCACCAAAATGGTCCTGATTAATGGACAGTGTTGGTATTCTGTATTATTTAATCGGAATAAATAAAACACTAAAAACTAAAATTAATTTTTAAAGTAAATTTAGGCATCACAACATTATAATGTACAGTACGAAAATGGATGTTCATTTACTAAAGATTATATTTAACAGTCTTAATAAACTATTATTGAGTGTTAAATGACAGAAACGGTAATCTATATATAAAAATTGGGGAAATGAGCATGCACAATGCATATGCAGATGTCAGTATTTTTAGAAATCAGTCAATAACTGTTGAAACTAATATGTTGTGCATCTGTAGCAGAAGTAATAAGAATAATATGGTTCTGTGTTCAGTACTGCCTCTGTCTGTTTGTCTGAAGCCCTGTTTGTCTTATTCATTTAGTATATGTGTATTTGATGTGAATGCATCCATTTGATATGTTCTCTAGATAGCAGATCAGATGTTCTTCCACACTGATTATCGGCCGCTTATCCGTGACGCCCATAACTTCGTACTGGACGAACAGACCCAGCAGGCACCTCACCTCATGCCCCCGCCATTCCTGGTGGATGTTGATGGCAATCCTCACCCTCCACGCTACCAGAAACTGGTTCCGGGCAGAGAGAACTGCAGAGAGGAACAGCTCATACCCCAGATGGGGCTCACATCATCAGGTAAGAAACGCAAACAGACAGTGTCTCTTTGATCCCTTTCTGTGTTTTTATTACTTAAGTAATTATTGGCTATTTGTTCATACAAATATACATCTGCAGTCTGTCACTGAACACTAATAAAGTGTTCAAATGTCTCTGTATTTGTTTCTTATATCCTCACTCAGGGCTGAATCAGGTGGTTAGTCAGCAGGCTGCAGAAGGCTCTAGTCCTCTTGATAGTATGATCCAGAGACTACAGCAAGAGCAGGACCAGAGACTGGGTTCTGACAGCAGAGCCAACAGAGGTAATGCACACATTTTTTGTAAAGTAGTGTAGTGATACAATACTGAAATATTTGATACCAATCAATAACGGTGAAATTTCATGATTCTTGATGCCAATTTATTTTTCACATTTATTAAATTACTTATATAATTAAAAGTACTTTATATAATAATTATACATTTATAATAAATCAGAACAATTGTGTTAAAAATGATTATAGTATTTTTATATATGCTATTTTAATTTGAGTTTTTCATCTAATATTTATATTTTATTTAAAGTTTTATTTCAATATCAATTTTGTATTAATTTTAGTTTTAGTCAACAATAACACCGAATAAGACTAATTAAAAGTAAATTAAAAAAATACCAAAAGTAATCAAATGTAAACTAAAAATTGTTGCAGTATATTATAAAAAAAACTAAAACAATAAACAGCTAATTTAAAAAAAAGAAAAGAAACTCACGGTAACACTTTCTATGAAGCCCGTATTTATAATACATTATAAG